TTTTCGGCAGGTGTTTATAATAGTGAATTATGGGAAACTTCCATTCTGCTTTCGTTATGTTCATCAACATGTGAATCCTTATTATCATTCTCGCAACAGTTATCTTTGAGGAGGAACGGATACTGCTCCGAAACGTCTTCACGTTTCTAATATTCCGTTTCGCTTTCGTGATCCAGACTTGAGGATGATGTTCGAGAGGTTCGGCCCTGTCATGGATGTAGAAATCATATTTAATGAAAGGGGAAGTAAAGTAAGTTATAACATTATTGCGCATATGTTGTTTTTTGACTTTCTTTTCAATTGTTGTTTTTCAGTTGTATATCTCGTTTGAGTTCTATGTGAATCTAATTGAGGTGCTTTCTTCAGGGGTTTGGTTTTGTAACAATGGAGAAAGCTGCAGATGCCGAAAAGGCTAGACAAGAACTTCACGGATCCATGGTAGAGGGGAGAAAAGTGGAAGTGAATTGTGCGACTGCTCGAATTCACTCGAAAAAAGTCAAAGCGTTGCCTGGTGATCATTTTTTTTAATCACATTCCAAGCTCATAGATTCAGCACTGAATTTGAATGAGGTTATGCTCACTGTCCTTGATAGCGTTTATTCAGGTGTCTTGGACCAAGCAATGACTGCTTCTGCATTGCAGAATGCCGCTATTGCTCAAGCTCAGGTGACACGGGCTTTGTACATGCGGAATCCATTGGTGGCGCAATCGCTATTGGCCAGAGGTGGAATATTGGCTGGTTTGCCACAGTCGCCAGTACCTCTTTCGATTGCCGCGAATTCACTTACTGCAGCTCAACTACAAGGGCAGCAACTACTTTTAGGAGCTGCTGGTTTTCAGCAGAATGCAGCTCTTCAACAAGCTGCATTTGCTTCGGCAGATCCAGCAACTGCTGCTTTGTTAACCGAACAGGCTCGACTTCAATTAGCTGCCGCTGCTCAAGGTGAGGATGTTCTTCCAAATTTTCGTTACGCAGTCACCTAAGCAGTGATTTGCATGGTATGTCTGTCGGGTGCACCACTGCATGAGCATGGCAATCATCTCGCTGTGTTTCAGCGCGTATTCCCACTTCGGCAGGTACTCTTGGTGAGCAATACCTTGGACAAGCTCTCACTGCTGCCCTTCCTGCCTATCCTATCAATCAGGCGTATCGGGGCATCAATCGCTTCGCGCCCTATTAGCATGCATTGCACTCGCTTGGCGATGTGCCTGTAACCTCCATTACTAATCTTTTTGTTTATAATAGATTATTGTCAAGCATCGTTCTCTGGAACAGTTTCTATCATTATCGCTTCATCATCATCATCATCATCATCATCGTCATCATCACCTGCATCATCATAATCACAGTCTTATCATCATCATTTTCATGAGCATCACGCTAGCAATTTGAGCGCAGGATGCTCGTAGGGGAATGGTGAAAAGTGTCTCAGTGAAACGCTTACCTTCGCTACTATAGCAGTATGATTCACTCACGGATTTTGGGAGTTATTTGATATTGTCTT